AGTTAGATATTGTGAAATTAGATTTACAATCATACATACACATATATTTGGCGTTGATAATTTGGAGATAAAAATCTTATATGTATAAATCTTATTAAAGTATTGGGATACGAATAATCGTATTGGGAAGTCGCAAGCGTTTCTATTAAAGCGTTTTTATTAAAGTTACGTAGTAGTTAGTATATAGATCGTTTGTCTAGAAAAATGTGTTGAACAAAAGTACAAATTGTATGAAAGCAATCAAGAGCTACTTTAGATAATACATAAAGAGTGAGAATGTGGTGATTACTGAATTCCATATGAATTCATTTGAGTATTTGGAACTTCCAAAAAGTGATAAAAATTCTCTTAAAATTCACGTATAGATTTACTCTACGTAAAGTAAACCAATAATGTGTATTATGTAAAAAAAAATGATTAAAATCGTCTCCAATTTAAAAATATTAGTATTTCGAAATTTTGATTGGTCATTAATTTATTGGCTAATTCTAAAATCATTGACCTTATTGAAGGTTATAAAACGAGACAACATAGGCTTTTGAATTACAAATCCTTAAAAAAAACAAGAGAAAAAGAAAACTATCTATCAATGGAGAAAAGGGTTTTGTACGGTTTGATAGTAATGCTAATGTACTTGGTGGATGGTGGCTCTAGTCAAGGTATAGTTAAACCATCTTACATAGACTCTAATTTTATTATTTCTTTGTCTGATCATCTATTGATTAATTTGATGTATATGTAGGGGAAGTGAAATTGATAAGTGAAGAAGTAACTGAATTGGAACAACTTTTGAATAAGATCCAACAACTCACGGTGGTTGCCTTCTCGTCCTCGTTCTGCGGTGTTCGATGTGCTATATTGGATGATCAAATGGATCAACTGGCCAAAACTTACGGTAACCAGATTACATTCTACAAATCGGACATTTCGGAGAAGGCCTCGATTGCAAACCTTTACAAGGTAGTCAATGTTCCAACCCTCATAGTCTTCAAAGGTGGAAAAGAAATAAAGCGATTAGAAAAAGATTTCTATTGGGGTGCAGTATATGACCTAATCTTCAAGGGAAATCTATTCTATTCCGCTCCGGCGCCCTCCGAGTCTGTGCCGCCTGCCGCTCCTCCATCCGAAAACATGGAAGAAGTTGAAAATTTGGAAGTAATTCTAGCCGAGACTGAACTTCCCGTAGTGGTTACGGTAACGTCCTTGTTGTGCGGTGTTCCATGTGCTATATTGAAGGATCAAATGGCTCAATTGGCCAAAACATATGGTAACAAGATTCTATTATATACAACCGACATTTTGGAGAATCCATTCTTTGCAAAACTTTACGAGGTACTCAATGTTCCAACCGTCATAGTTTTCAAAGATGGAAAAGAAATAATTCGTTTCGAAAAACTTTCCGATTGGAGTGAAGTAAGTGACCTAATATTCGAGTCAAGTATATTGGATTCCGCACCGCCCCCCTCCGATTCTAGTCCCGCCTTGAATCAGTAACGTCTCTTAATATGTAATCGTGTGTAACGTGTGTTTGCTTTCTGTATCAAACCTTTCCCTACGTTGTATTAAAGTTAGTTAATAAAAGAAATTAAACACAAATAAACTAATCAATTCTAAGTAACATATATATGTAACATTTGTGAGAAACCCAACTTGATGAATGTCTTGAGATGAATTTGTAACATTTTACCATACATTTTAAAACCAAAAAAAAAAACATATGTAACATCTCAAAATCAAACATATCCTTTAATGACCAAAAACAGAAAAAGCTAGTCGTTACTAAACACTAAACCATAAAAGCCTCCTTCACCAAACATTTTTTCTCATAATCAGAAGAACAAAAGAAGGATAAAATGGAGAAAGCAATTCTCATAATGTTTCTCGTAGCAACATCAATGGCTTACCAAACTCTCGCTCAGGAAGAAGAGATCAGTCCATCTCCACAACAATTTGTAGACGTACCAGCTGCTGTTTACGACCATGAACTCTTAAGCCACATGACGACACAACGCGTCAGATTTCTCCAAGATTGTTCGGACAAATTGAGCTCGAAATGCGGAATCGAAATGACCGAAGGATTGGTCAACGACAAGGCCGTGTCCGAGGAATGTTGTAAGGACATTTTGAAGATTGGAAGAGAATGTCACGAAGGATTGATGAATTTGGTTTTCTCAACTTATGAGTTAAAGGATATTGCTAATGAGATTCTTCCTCGGAGCAAACGGATTTGGAACCAATGTGTTCAAACTACTGCTGCTAGGATCGGTGTACCTTTTACTTTTGAAACTTGATTCTTGATTATGAATGATAACAAAAACAAAATTATACATCACATTACGACAATTATACGCACATCACACTTGGTGTTGAATGTTTGGTTGATATATGTTTCTTGGAGCTTATCTTGTTTTGTTTTGTCGAAGTATGAAGAATTTTTAGTCTTTTCATACTCACAGAACTGAAAATAAATTTTCTTACAATTTTGTGAAATCGCAAATGCTCAAGTAAACTATATAGTGAATCTAAATTTAGACATGTACTTATGAATATTAAAAAGGTTTAGTTAGACATCTTGTTTCATTACATGACTTTTGTCATCGTAGGTAACCGGTTAATGAATAAATATTTTCTGTTTAAAAAAAAAAAAACCAAATATATAGAATAATGAATCGGTTAATGGTTTGCAAAAAGAAACATAATTGCAACGAAAGATTATTTTGATTTCTTTTCAATAAAACTTGTAAAAAATTATTTTCAATATAAATATATAATTGATTTCTTTTTATATAAAAGAAAAAAAATCTATTATTGGCCCAAATTGTGATGGGCTAATTGTCCTTATGTAAGCTAAAATTTTCCGAAAGTCTCGTCCTTTTGTGATCAATAAAAAAAAGGTGTTTTTTTTCTGCTCTCAAAGCGGTTTTAAGGTTTATGGAAAAAGCAAAAGAAATGTCTGAAACACCGATTTCGTTTACAAATCTTCCTCATGAGTTGATCTTGGAGATATTAATCTCTAATCGTCTCAATGCGATTGATCTAGTGAACATCGAATTAACCTCTAAAGTATTCGGATGGGGCTTATACCCTCCAGATTTCAAATCAGTCGCTGATCACGCAGCGTCTAGGTTATGCTCTATGCATCCAATCTTCATGGGTTTGTCTCTGAATAACCAGAAGAGACTCGTTACGAGATGCAACAGTAACTGGAAAAGGGTCTTGAGATTCTTGCAATCAATTGTGAAAAGCTCCAAAGACAATGTAATACGTTTAAAGCTTGTTGCTTTCTTTGTTCAAATACTTAAGTGTGAATGATTTTGGTAGTTGTTGCAAGTTTGGGGATTGAATTAGGAAATGTAAAATGTTTAAAGTTTGTTGCTTTCTTTGTTCAAATACTTAGTGTGAATGATTTTGGTAGTTGTGAAGTTTGGGAATTATTGAATTGGGAAATGTAAAATGTTTTAAAGATTTTTGCTTTCTTTGTCAAATACTTACTGTGCATGATTTTGGTGATTGTGAAGTTTGGGGATTGAATTGGGAATGGTTTGGATTGTTAGATTTTGGTTTTAGGTATGTGTACAATTCTGGTTATGATGGGTTTGTTTGTTTGGTTAGATGCAAATGAAGAAGACAGGAAGAGAAAGAAAAATTGTAACCAATATTAGGAATAGGCATGTAGACTACTCTTGTTGTTCAAGTATGTTTGGGGATCTTGCTCAATGGCCAGAAGCTAGACTACGCTGCGTAAAATTGTCGCGTAGTGAGAGGTGGAGAGATTTCTCCTTCGCTGCTCAAGTGATTCAAGTATCAGCTAGCGAGAATAATGCTGCTTTCGTAATGCGGTCTGGAGAGGTTGCTTCTGGTTCCTTTCCGGTTTTTTTTTTTTTGTACTTAAAAATCTATCCGCTTACTATGTTGATTTTCACAGGTTTTAACTTGCGGGAAGAATTATCTCTTCGGTTGTGGTCACTTAGAAACAGACCTTCCAATAGATAGTCACAAGCTCGTTGAGGCTTTGGAAACGATTCCTTGTAAACAGGTAACATTTAATACCCGCCTTTGTTCGTATGATCCTTGTGTTCTAATATTCAGTATGTTTACTTCCTCAATATTATGAAGTTTACTGAATACTAGTCTTCGCCTATAACTTGATGATTGCAACTAGCAGTATTACTTGGCTCATTGTAAGTTTTGACGTGTGTGTGTGGAGGTAGACTTCAAATTCAAAAAGAGTTCCCAGTTTTATCTTAATGATGACATCCAGAGGGTCGAATACGAAGGCTGGATATAATTTTTGGATTCTTGTAAAATTTTTGTTTCGCATACATTATTACTAGGTGGCTACTGGACTCTACTCCACTGTGTTTTTGACAAGGGAAGGGCATGTGTATACCGTTGGAGGAAACACACATGGGCAACTTGGTCATGGTGATACCATGAACAGACAAGAACCTACAATAGTTGAACAGCTTAAGAACATTGGTCCGGTTGTGCAAATTTCGGCTGGACCACAGCATGTCTTGGCTTTAACCGAGGATGGATCAGTTTACTCTTTTGGAGATGGGTATGACCTCTGTCTTGGTCATGGGGATTCTCAGGATAAACTCCTACCAACTGCTATTCAGGCTTTTAAAACTAAAGGTGTTCATATACTTCGTGTTTGTGCTGGTGATAGGCATGTGTTCGCTTGTGACTCTAATGGTGATGTAAATTTCTAACCCTGGATTGTACCTGTAGAGTTGTTTCCACTCTCTCTCTGTGTTTCCATTACAATCTCTTTTCTGATGCATAAGGTATACACGTGGGGTCGAGGTAGCAAGGAGGACAAGCCCATTCCTGAGGTTTTGGTTAGCTTGAAGAACCATCTAGCAATTCAGGTCTGAAAAATGCTCTTTTTTTTTTTAATTGTGAGCCGCGATTCTCTTGAAAGCTCAATATATTGATGTTCTTCATTTGGTGTATCTCAACCTTGCAGGTTTGTGCAACAAAGATGGATACTTTTGTTGAGGTCGAAGGCGGTTTAGTGTACAGTTTCCACGAACTTAGAAGCCTCTATCCTAATGAAATGGACTAGCCACGAGTCTTGGAATGTCTTATACCACAACGTGTTCATCGGTTTGTATTACATTGTGGTGGGTCACTCAACAAGGACGCTTCTTAGGGCTTTTGAGATTAGAACCTAATTGTATAATCTTGAGTCTTGACGAAACCAAATAACCAACCTTTAGTCTGATTAAACCAAATCTATAATGTTCAACATGTTAGACATAATCTAAATGTTCTTTTCCTAATGATGTGGTTGTTGGAAGGTAAAAAAATACTACTAGGCGACTTTTGGCGACTTTTGGCGATTAGGGTTTTTTTTTTCTAAATACGACACAAGCAAGGATCATGACGGCGCCTCAGCCGCTGGATATTCCGGTGGTAACGCCGGTCGGAAATACAAGCTTAGGTCTCAGGTCACAGCCAAAGATCATTTAGAAACC